CAGCAAAAAACAAACACACACACACACACACCCGTAGCAACAGCAACAAAAAGCAGCAACAGCAACAAAAAACACCCCCCCCGGCAGCAACAGCAAAAAAAAAGAAACCCGCAGCAAAACAAAAAAATAAACGCAGCAACAGCAAAATCAAACACACTCCTACCGATACCCGAAGCTGGGTCTCTTGTCACATCTAAGGTTCGAGAAGTTGAAGAACTGGCCTTCCGGGGTTTCCGTCTTTCGGTTCTTGCCAACCCAGCGCTTGGAGAGCCAGTGCGAGACAAGAATCGAGGAAGCCGAGCATTGGTTTCGAACCTCGGCACCACCCCCAACAAAGGCTGAGCTCTAGCGGCATGGCAAAGGAGACGACCTTGGTCTGGCATGTTGGAACGGCAGGGAGGCGGATGGCATGCTGCGCATGCCTTGGCGCCAAGACATTGAACATGTGACGAAGATGCAAGAAGAGCAAAGGTCGGCCTGCAACGCTCGACGCGAAGCAACAAACAAGTCCGAAGTCCTTGTCTGGAAGTCAGCCTCTTCGATGAAGCCGTTACAGAGACAGGCAACTCGACCGGGACCATGCTGGCTTCAAGGTTCCATATGGTCGGAGGGAACAGCGAAAGTGGGACGCGAGACCACTGCAACAGCGTGGCTGAAGTTGTAGACCGGACCGGTCGCAGCGGCCGGTCTCGTAGATGTCGATAAATCTGCTGCATAGACAATCAAAAAGTCCTCCACGAGCGACCTTGAGGCTGGGATGCTATCAGTACTTTTTTGCTGAAGAGGATTGGTCGCAGGTCGGAGATAAGTGGATTGCTGTGATGCATGACACGGCCGGTGCCCGAGCAGATGGTTGCAGATAAGGAGGTAAAGCCGCCCCAACTTAGTCAGGTGATGCCAGATGGGGGCCAAGTGCCAGAAGAGGCTCCGCCGATGCAGCTCGAGCTCGAGCACTTACGCTGCCGATGCGACCTTTAGGTCCGACCTGCTCCTGGAAAGAGGCAGTTCGGCCCTGAGCCCTGTTGTCTGCGTTGCACAAGCGCTCGTCGCCTGGCATAAACGGCATAAACCAAAGGCTGCGCTGCACTTAGAATGGGAGCAAAACTGTGAAGCTGGATTTGCCCACGAGGTATATTGACCTGACAAAGTACGAGGGAGAGGCGGTTGAGCGCTTCATGTCCAACTCCTGCGCAAGTTCATCCACGTGCAAGAACATCAGTGCGCAGCAGGAAGATGGGGAAGCCCAAGAAGCACCGGATGCCAAAGACCGGGATACTCCTGAAGCTTGTTGATGCACCTGTTGAGTTCTTGATCGCCAGGAGTATCCACCAGGCAGAAGCCTCACGCGAAGTCCTTGAGACTCATCTCGTCTTTGTTCCCAAAGTTTGAATCGTGAAGGCCGCTACAAATGTTTGACTCAGTGGGTCAATATCCATGCCAGGCTCTCAGCCCGAGCGCCCACTCAGCGCCGAAAGCGAGTGCGACCCAGGAACAGCCGGACGTCTCCTCGCCTGTCCACGGCCGTTGCCTTCAGAAGGAGGCATCTGAAGCACTTCTGGCAAATGGGATGACACAGCTCAGCTTCAATCTGCGAGGAGCTTTCCTTCCTGGCTGTCAAAGCAGTGGCCCTGGAATGTAAGCGACATTAAGACACTTGTGCTCTGCTGTTTTCATCAGCGAGTCAATGTGCCTGTTCTTTCAGGTGTTTGGAACAGAGCTACGCGGGCTCGCAGAGCAACGCACCTACTGCCACTATTCTTGTGCACCAATGGCATCCAACATCGACGCAGCGAGTGATAGCGAGTGGTGACCGGCGCCGAAGTAGGCGTGGTGGCTGGATTTCACTGGCCAGTGGGGCAGGTGGGGGGCCCAGTGCTGCACTTTAGCCTTCGCCTTCGGGCCCTTGAATCACGTTGCATCCGAAGGCAAGCCTCTTTTCGAGAAGATCTCGGAGCTAGATCCCGAGCCGCTGCAAGGGCGCCATGAGCTCAGCTAGTTTCAGTGTGCATGCTGGATGTTTTTAAGAAGTGCTCCGAAGCAAGAGAGCCATTTCCAGAAAACCTTAAGAACGCCAGTTGCTCCCTCCATTGATTCCACTCTTCCGTAACTCGCCTGGCCTGACCTTACCCTACTTACATTGACCGGACCTTGGCCTTACCTGCAGGGCCAGCGGTAGCAATGTTCCAAGCGGTGAGCAGGTTCAAGAGTAGTAGCGTTCTGATTGTCTTCTGTTTTGTCTCGTCAGGCTACCGTGTCAGGGTTACCAGCCATGACCTCAGTGCTACGGACAGTGGCTGAATAAACTGCAACACGTTTTGATGAACATGCCGCATTGATGACGGCAATGGTTTCTACTGTTGCTTGACGCATGCCTACCGACAAGCTATAATCATACGGAAAGCTCCGTCGGCATGTGCACATACAACCTCTGTGAGAGAGGTGCGCCCGTCTTCGAAGCACCTTCGTCTGCTGCTCGGGAAGTTGGACATCTGAAGGTCCGGCTGTTGCACTGCTTTCAGTCATCAGTTTGCGACCCCGACGCGCAAGGCTGGCGAGGAGGTCAGCTTGGATGAAGTTCGCATCGAATGCCACGGCCGGATGGGAAAGACATGACATGGGCACTTCAGAGTCTCCTTCTTCCTCCGCTGCCTTAGCTAGCTAATCTCGCCTTTGAAGGGAAACTTTGGCTTCCGTGAGCGGAGCTGAAGATCTCATGTTTTGTGTGCTGCTGGGCTGTGCTGCCGCAGGCACGGATGTCTCCGTCATGGGCAGGCGCTCTGCAAGCAGAGGTGAGCTTCCTGGAAGACAGAAGCAGCTTTGTCTTTGCAGGCTTGCTGGGACCGCAGGAGGTTTTTCTGGATGGGTGAAGCCCTGAGAGTGTGCTTCTGCACAGCACGCATGCTCATGCTGGAATGAGTGGGGACCCGACTACGTCAATCCTTGATCAGCTTCTTTCATGCTGTGCGGCTTGGCCGCGGGACTTGCGTCGCGACTGTACATGACAATGCGGACGTTTTGCCTTGGTCTCAGGTGACCGTCTACGCCTCCGGCCCCGTGGGTCTGGTGTGCGAGCAGATTGTCGAAGGCGAGGAATGCGGGGAAAACCGGAGCATCGGAGCATCCAGAACCAAAGAATCGGCCAATTGAATGCCAACGGAAGGCTACAACGAGAAGCCCCGCAAGCCACTCAAAGGCCAGTCGGAGCCCGAGCTCGGCAGCATTGGACCGTTGCATCATGCTGCCGCTGTTCCGCCCAGGACTGGCCATCAAATGATGCTGGTTTCGGACATGGTACTGCTGTGGGATCCCGGTTTTAGGGAGCACCTCGAGGCAGATAAACTGCCCTTGAGCGTGTGCAAGATTGCAGAAGAAGCAGCTTAGCAACATCGTTCTGGCTTGTGCCGCTTGCGCATGCAGGCATATGCCGAAGACGAGGACTTGTTGAAGCGCGAGTTTGGGGAGGCCTGGTCTGCCGGTTTTCTGGTGGAGCTTTTAAGCATGTCGTGAGAGCTGCCGCGACATGTCAATATGGTTCGATCTTGGCGGGAACAAGGCTTTCAAGAAGCTCACCGAGCTCGGCTGCCCTTGGTCCAAGGAGCGGGCATCTCGAAACCGTTGGACCGGCGGCGCCACTTCAGCCAGGATGCTCCTGGTCCAGCTACTGGCTGTGCAGCGGTCACAGCTGGTCGCTGCCCTTTTGTGCAGTGATCACTGGCCTTGCAGATGCTCCGGGCTCAGACTCGCTGTGGGTGTCAAGCCAGTGGCCACGCTACTTTGTAAGCCTGAGGCACGGGAACCGTGCAATGTTGGGGCCGGAGGCCCATGAGGTTAGGAGGTTATGTCGTGGGAAGCTGCTGGCAAAGTCAGCGCGGACCCATCAGCAAAGCGACATGTGCCGCCACTTCTTGCGAGCAGTCGCAGGTTGATCGAAGGCACGTCACGAGTTAGTGACGAGCGTAGAAGATTAAGAGTGAATCTTCCGGCATGCTGCTCAACTTTGTAAAGTCGCAGAAGTTGCCGAAAATATGCGTCGCACACGTCACCATTGCATGTTTGAGCCGCATGCTGACATGAAAGTAGAAGCGGCCCTTGCGTCTTCTGTTGTTTTTCAACACCGTTCTGAAGCCTGCCTCGCTCTCGATTTTTGGCCAGAAACTGCTAGAACACATTGCGAGCAGCGACATCGCAATCTGCATGCATGAATGAACGCGTTTTTGGACCGTATTCGTCCGACGTGCTGCAGTCATGCCGGCTTGTCATGCAAGCGCGTCCGAGTTGCCAGACTTCAAATTCTTTTCGTAGCTGCCACAATGGACACCCGTGGTGAAACAGGCAGGACCCAGTCCAAGCCATAGCCAATAAAAGGAGCAGACTTGTAGTCACAGTCACGATGCTTTCCAGGCATCATGCCCGGGATTGCAGAGAAAGTTCGACATATGGCAGGTGCCTGTCATCCATCGGGTTTGCTGTATGCCGCTGCCCGCCTTGACACAGGTATCACAAACTGGGCCGGGGAGCTTAGCTAGCGCAGTGTCAGACGTGAAGGGAAGTCTCCAGGGAATTGCTGGGCCTGCACAGATCCGTGATCTTGGGCAAGCCCGATCCTGCCTGCTATACGGGGCTGGCCCTGTGAGGTGCACCCTGCAGTTGCTTTGTCCCGGCCTCGGGTCTGGCAACACTTGTCTATCGGATGCCATGCCTGAGGGAGTAGCATCGTTGGTTATAGTCGCACGGTATGGAGGTGGTTCATGAGGCGCCGTCGAGGGCGGAGTGAGAGAGAGTTCGTCTGGACATGGTTTCGAGAAGTGTTGCTGCCCTGTGCTATCGAGCTGCTATCCACCGCTCTTCCAGCCTGCGCACGAAGCCGAAGCAGTGCCGAAGCAGTCAGCGTCTTCCAAGGCTGCCTCCAGCGGGCGGCTCCAACGCCGTTTCTTTCAGAGACGAGGAGTTTCATTCTTGGAGCCAGCCCAGCCGCCCGAGCGATACACGAGTGCACTCGGCATTGCTCCGCGAGCTCGGCGAGGAGATGTCTGGAGATGCAGACGTGCAGCATCAGCGCGAGCTGAAGTTTCCGGAGCAGTCAACTCCGCATGCCCGGCTGCTCAGCTCCGTGAGATCGTCTTGGTCATGGGGATAAATACAGAGCCATGCATCAGTTTGAGGCGCTGTCTCTTGCCGAGATCTCTGGCCTCGCAAAGCCGAGAGCAGTTCCACCTGCCTTCGTTCCGCCCCATCCTTGGAAGAGAAGCGAATCGCCGCTACGTGCGCAGCGGCGCAATGCGGCACAGCCGACATCGTCAGACTCAGGCCAGCTCAAAATGGCGGCTACACGAAAGAGCAGCTCAAGGCTCTGAGAGTCTCTTCCTCCTTGGCCTTTCGCCTTGGCTCTCTCAACTTTAGGACTGGGGCTACCCTGAGTACGATACCAAGTACGACGACCCGAGATGGCTGCTTCGCTCTCGGGAAACTTCGACTCAGGCTGCCGCCTGCATGTATCTGGTTGCATCCAGCCGTCTTTCGGATCTTGAAAACTCTGGCCATAGCGACGAGTGTGCAAACGGCTAGACACCTTGCAGACATCTATAGTAAACTCCCGAGACAGCCTTAGCCTTTCTGTTAGAGCATTCACAAGCAGCATGTCGCTTCCCGATCTGCCTGGTACACTGCACATCCCACAGCCTCGGCCGGTTTGCAATGGCGCAGGAATCACAGGAACCCTCTTTCCAGTACTCGATTCTAGAGCGTCTAGGAATTGGTTGGCGGGACAGCGTCTGCCAGTCCAACGAGAAGCGCGTCAAAGAGTACGATCGTCAGCTCGAGGAGGCTCTGGAGCATCTCGGAACGAGTCGTGAACATGCGGTTGTTCAAACAAAGAAGAGGCCAGTACAGGTTCGCGGAGACAAAGGGCCCCGAGATCTGCTTCATTGCATCAAAATCCACAAGAATTCCAGGTTTACCTACATTCAAGACTAAGATTAGACGAACTGCGCTGAGCAACTCCATGTTCGTTCCCACTTGGACACGGCCATGTGCGAGCTGCCTGCATGACCACCGATCCCAGGTACGAGGAGGAATACTTGAAACAGTGGCGCAATCGTGATGACAATGCGGATCTGGTGCTCGCACGGCGCTCCTACGAGAAGGGTTTTGCCACAGAGCCTTGGCCTTGGGTGATTTAGACACCATGACCTCATCATGTTTGACCGTCGAGTCTCACATTCCGTCTCATCTTGGCGTGGCTTTGGTGTTTTGTCCGAGGACAACGGGAAGACACAGCTGGCTGTGTCCATACCGATCGAGGACCCACTGCAAAGCTTACTAGCCGAGGCAAGAGATGATGTGGTCAACTGCGTGTTGCTGCTATCAGGCATGCACAGTCGGAGTGAGGCAGCCGACGTTGAAAAGAGCAGCACATGGATTCCAGAAGTGGCCCACATTCCGCAAAAGGACATGCACATAACTGTTTGCATTCCCAGTCTCTGGAGAGAGCCGGACACGGACCCGAAAGCACACGCCGAGTACAACAGTCAAGTCGTTAAGGCACTTCGGCTCAGAACCGACCCTTGACAACTTGGTTCACCTCTGTTTAACAGATTTTAACAGTAAGACCACCCCGCTTGCAGCAAACAAGCCTGTTCAGCGCAAGCATTCTTGTGTTGCTGCTTTTTCGGATAGTTGTCACAGCGGCTAGTACCAGCTTCTGTCACCGAGTGCATGCACGGCTTTGGGCTAAGGCGCTGGAACATGTCGCAGCAGATCACGAGGCCTTCGTGCTGGAGGTGGACCGAATTATGCTCGCCAAAGACGGATCCCTGCTGGCTTTGTTTCGGACCGTGGGAACAAGTGACAGCGACAAGGGCCTGCGTGAACCTGGCGTGCTGAGCGATCGTGCCAGTGCGGAGATGGATCCCATGACGGCGCTGAGAACCGACGTTTTATACGTCTTCCTAGAGAAGAAGCTGTCTCATATTCAACGAAAAGACGAGCTGGATCTTGCGGCGGTGCACGAGCATCCCAAGCTTTTAAGACAAGCGACCATCGTGAGAACTGTCGGTGGATCTGCTCATGGTTACGTGCACTGCTCCTTGAGCCGACTGGCCTTGGGACCCGAACTCACAAAGAAGCAACTGGACCTCAAGCATCTTCACCGGATCTGCAGGCGTCACACGAACAAAGCCACATCTCTTTCTACATGTCAGTTTAATCGAGCTCTGGCTCCAGCGAGGTCGTGGACTGCAAAACTTGCAGGACGTCGGATGGCTCCCCGGCGCTACACCCGCTACACTTGGGACTAATTACATAAATTCTATTACTCGATGTAGCTGTAGTTTTCAGTCTCCAGATGCAGTACCATGCAGTGCTTCGTGCATGCAGGCTAGCTGCTAGACTCATGGAGGATGTCGGCGCTGTGTAGAACTGGCTAAGTGGTGATTACCGCTCGTGGGCGATCCAAGCGGCCTTTCAGGCTGTGCGCGGTTTCATCTTGAGCGAGATGACTGGGCTAGGTGAAGGCGGCAATAAGAATCCTTTCGACAAAGCGCGACTTTGCTGCATCCTGGGTGACTCTGGCATGCCGGTGTTGGGATGGGAAGTGGGGGGGAAATTGGGGGAAGCCGGGGAAGCAGATCGGACAGCTGAGGAGATGGATGGGGACTCAGATGCGCTCATCATTCTGAGGATGTGAGTTCGCATGCACCGTTGAATTGCCTTCCCGACTCCGCCAGGTTGCAAGGCATCAGTCTCAACAACAAGGAAGGCTTCCTCGTGACTCAGATGAACAGTAGCACCAAGCTCGCTGTGCATGGGAATTTGCACCTTGCAAGGCTGTCAGAAGGTCTTGGCTCCATGCGCTCGGAGGATGTTTTCCATGGTGCTCATGACGTGTGTGAACCGTCTCCGATGCAGCCGCGTAAACTACGACGGAGACTGTCGAGCACAACTGTGCTTGGATCGTTTTAATGACAGACCGTCCAACAGCGGACTGTTGTGTAACAAAAGCTTGGCGCAGAGCGGTCTGCTGCAAACTTTGCTCGATGAAGAAGGAGAGCGGTGACAAATCGTATTCTGTCAATGACAAAAAGAGTTATGTGGCCAAGGTCAGAACAGTTTCGGCGTGAAACTGACGATCCTCGCGAGAATCCTAATTTTTTCCTGACTCAGGAGGCTTGGCCTTCGGTTTTCAGAAGAAGTGAGTGTACCATGACCTACTGTGTCTGGAAGGACCCAGACTTCTGGAACAATGCGGCGCGCAAGCCACACATGAAAGCGCTGATGCAATCCGACGACCATTGGAAGTCGTCCCCTTAATTTCTACACTTGCAACTCAGCTTTTGCTCGGTGCTGAGAGGCTGAGAAAAAATACTTGGCTCCAGCAGTTCTCGGAGGCACGAGCAAAGCAAGAGCAACACACATGTCAGTGAGGATACTGAGCAGTCCTGACATCATTGTGCCGTTTGCCCATGTTCCAGGTGCAGACCACGAATCAATTCCGAAGAGAGGCGACAATGCCCCAGCCCGTCAGAGGGTTAGCTGTCTTCAAGGTGAACTGCCCGTCTATAGATGTATCCGAGCTAGCCAAGCAGCTGGGGTCTCGGCTTGAGCCATGTAAAAAGCGACACACTTTTGACAGCTCGCGGACCGATTGGACGAATGCACCATGGCCACCCGGCGCTTGGCAGGAATCCCAGAGTATGATGTCTCAGATTGAGGAGAAGAGGTTCCAGTAAATCGATGATTGCATCCGTATCTTGAGATTTCTGTACTGTGTAACGGATCCAATGACGAAGCGTTATCGGGCTGGAGCTTTCTAGCAAAACCTTGCATTACAAGGACATTAGCCACCTTGTTTGCGCTGATTGGGCGGCAGCCAGTACGTGTCAGCAATTCCGCAAGTGGCAGAGGCATCTGTACGTGCCCTGACATGCCTACGCTAGTTTCTTCGTGCAACAACACTAATTGTAGTTGCTCTATGTTGCTCTAGATTGCATGGTTAAGTCCAGTTTTTGCAGTGCTTGAACTCGAGGTCATGCCCATTCTGCACTACAGGGCAGTGGAGGCCTACTTGATGCAGGCCATAGTGCCATGCACTAGAGGGGTGGATACGACTGAGATTCTGACTTCTGAGGCTCAGGAACGTAAGGTGGCGAACACGATCAGTAGCGGGGACGGGGTGATGAACTGCAAGACTATTGCAAGACTCTGGACCTTGTCGCGCCAAGAACGTGGCACGTTACCATAATCTTCGATTGGATGTCGGAAGATAACTGAAGCAGTGGCTTGCGAAGGTGGTGCGGCAAGCTCAAGAGCGCGGCGTTCCATTTCCGCAGTTCCTTGAGGCTCCTGAGACGCAGAGGCCATCGACTCTGACAGAAGGGTCTGGAGGGCTGCTCCTGCTGTCACTGACAGCAGATGACAGCAGGATGCTCTTCGACTTTCGCAATACCATCGATGCAGAAGGTGACAAGGGCGCCGATCGGATTTTCCAGGCGCCGGCCAGTTTGTCTTCAGTTTTAAAGTTTCGAGCGGGGAAGGCGCGGTCGACTGGAAAGCGGAGATCTCCGTTGAAATGCACAGATCGGTGTTCCATCGCCGGGGTTTGCAGCAAGGAAGCATGCCAGCATTCGTGCAGGATTGGCATCAGCGGGGTATCAAGGAAGATGCCCAGGCCCAAGATGAGCCAAGCGTTGCCTTCCCTTGAAAGGCGGCTTGGAGTGCTGACAAGAAAGCTCGGTTCGAAGAGGTCTCTTGAACACCATGCATGGAGAGGCGCAACATCTCAGATGTTCCAGCAGCAGCTTTGAGGCTGCCAAACAAGAGCGCCGCAAGATCGAAGGGCCCAAAGCAGTTTCTAGTGCGCCCGCGGCTGCATACGCGTGTGCAAAAAGTGGCACCGCATCTCACTGGCAACATGGTTGACATATACAGCATTGATATGCAGCACAGTTTCATCTTGGTGATAAAGGGAAGGGCCATTTTGTCATGTCGCCTGGCAGATCATATCTGGCTTTGTGGGAGTGGTGCTCCGAGTCTTCACATGTCTGCCGTTGACAAAGCCCTACATCCCGGAGGTATGAAGGAAGTGCATGATGGCCTGAGTTTTGCCACCAAGTATCGTAAGGTGCGGTCGGCCTGTCTTTTTTGCGACACTTCATGACTGTCGCCGAGCCGGCGTGTTGGTCTGCTCACCTACAGGATGGGGTGGCGGAATGGGAAAGAGGCAATGCTGAGGATGCCTTAAAGGCAAGCAGCTTTCAAGTTGCGCAGCATCTCGTGAATTCCTGACATGCTGAAGGCGTGGCGACTTGGGTGCGAGGCTTTGGAAAGGACAGCTGACTGCCAGCTGTATTACTTGCATTGTATTGTTAGACTAAGGGGGCCTTGTTTGCCTCACTGTTTTTCCCGACAGACTTGTCGTGGGCAAGCTGTCCAAGAAGCAGCCCGTGCTTACTTCCATTGGAACATATTGGAACCAGCTTTTGTCCTGAGCAAAGTGCAATCAACAGAGCAGGATACGGGTGCCTGACACTCATGCTTCCGAGCAGAAATTCTTCTCGGAGGCGCAGCCCACCTGCGCTCACGAATAGTTCGTAGGTCGTAGGCACCAGTGAAGAGCTGATTTTAGAAGTTGTAGCAGATTCAGGTCCGAGTGGCGCTCTTGAAGAACAGAGCTCTAGCAGCACTCAAGCTGCATGGTTGGCAGGAGGCAGTTCTCGTTCTGTTCAGCGTGCCCCACGCCGAAACATACAGTCATGGCCAGGCGCTTGAAGCTGCAGAGGATGTGCTCAAGACGGATGACCAGGACAGTGTGTGCTTGAAAGCCTCGCCCTCGTGTTGTCCAGAGGCCAGAGTTATCCAGTCTCAGGACCACAAAGCTTGGTTCCGGAAAGCTTGCGCTTTGGAAGGCGAGCGGGCGAGCGGCCGGCCTTCAGAAGGCTCCGGGCTCGGGTCAGACGCTCCTGACCGGAGGCCTGGGCCGACTCCGGGAGGTGGAGAGATGCGACTCGGAATGAGGAAATCGGAGTGTTTTTTTTTCCTGCCAGAAGGCTGCTGTCACTTTTGGCTCTGCGGAGAGACCTCTCAGGTCTGAAGATGATAGATACCATTGCAGTCGGGCGTGCACTCCTCAAGCAGAGAAGCGCGAAGAAGTGCCTGCAGTGCAGCAGCATGCAGCAGCAGTGGGGCACGGGGCGTCATTTCGGCTTTTCCGGGAAACTGCTACTGTAGGATGCAGAGATGTCGGCTGTCGCAAGGTCCTGACAGGGACCGACTGGAGCGTGAGACGTCTGCCAAGCGGGAGAAGGCAGCGACTACGCCGACTTTAGGATTGATGCATTCCTTGCTCTTTGTGTTGTTGATCCTTAGTTCTGATGACCAGTCTTTAAAAATTGGGCATTTGACCCGTGAGGTGCAAGCACTGCTCAGTCGAGACGAGGCAGTGTCTCAGCAGCTAAAAGCGCAGCACGGCAGACGGCACAGAGCAACCTCTGGTTTGCACGAGTGAGCGATGCATGGGACCAAGAAGGTATGTGCAACTTTATACTGGATCCTGGATGAGTGCTTTTTTTTCTGATTGCGCTGTTGCCATATCCAGGTCAGTCAGCAGCAACCGACAAAAACATCTGGATGGTGCAAAGAGTAATCTGCTGCAGTGTAAAGGGTCCTGACGATAAGGTAAGGGGCGGCCGGAGAAGATAAACAGGCAGGCCCGGTACATTGAGCAAGATTGCGCTTGGTCGAACTCGGGCGCAATGTAATCATCCACCTTTCGTTTGATCCTACCAGACAAGATGGCTGAGCTCAGTCACCACGGCGTTGCGGACCGTACCATGTATCCAGTGGATGTGAAGCCGGTATTTGATGCAGCGAGCTCCTGCAAGTCAAGGGCGACGGCATCGACAAGGAGCACTTCTTCGCGCATTTCTTCTGCCAGGGAGCCGCGGGATCCAAGGGCATGTCCTCTAGCTGGAGCTTCTAGGGATTATGAAGGCGTTCATCGTCAATTCCATGACAATGCGGCCGGTGCCCGTGATTCCTGGTGGTTGCGGCAAAGAGACATCTCGACCAATTATGCCAGAAGCAATGGCGCCCTTGTTGGCGGTCCGCCGGTATTCAGCTTGCCGAACGAGGATCTCAACGCACGAAGCCGTCATATAGCCAAACAACTCAGGGAAGCCTTTGCCGGCGCCGCAGGGCATCGGACTTGTGTTGTGGGAGACTTGGCACCAAAGCCCTCGCAAGTGCCGCAAAACCTCAGGGGGGATGCAGAAACATCTTCCAAAGCTTCAACTGAAAGACGGAAGACACGAAAGCACCGACACGGAGAAGGGACGGCCCCGGTGAGCAGAAAACAAGACCTCGTGGCCTTCACGAAGTCTGCTGCCGGCAAAAGATGCATGGGTGGTCCACCGCGTCAGGAGGGACTGAAGGTCTACCCGGCTGCAGCCAGTGTGTGCGAGACCGCTGGATTGATTCCGGGCCGTGAGAGTGGATCGCCACCGCGGGCTGAGAACCACTTCGGCGCGGGCCTGAGATGCAATAAGTGCGGCAGATGGAGTTGCTTTGCATGCTTGCATGTCAACGGGGTCGGATGTTTTGTCATGCCCCGTCACATCCTAGATGTGGCCGAGCATCTTGGTGCCGCTGGCAAGAGGCGGCTGGGAGCCAGCCCTCGGAAAGAGGGCTTGCGAACCAGGGCCACAGGGCATGCTTCGCAAGTGGACGAGGCAAGTTGAGAGCTGAACGCACCTAAGCGCCATACCTGGCCCTTCCCAGACTCCTCAGGTTGTCTTCGGCCGTGACATGGACTGCTCAGACGTCCGAGTTGCGGAGTACGCTGAGGAGCCTGTCTTCGAGGGAGCCGCAGGGCGAAGGTGCCTAGGCCGAGAAAGCCGCGGCCGAAGAGCCTGGCTTTGTGTGCTCAGCCTGTTGTGAGGTATGTTGGCCACGTGGAACGCCGGGAAGGGATCAAGGCCAATCCCGCAAAAACTGTCACCAGGGTGGACAAAGTCGTCTTGGGACGGGAGTTGTCGAATTCTGATGCTGCTTGGCCCGTATACGGTCCTGTAAGCACAGTGTAAAGCAGTTGCACAGGTCCTTGTCGCGCCCTTTGGCTCAGGACAGGTTGAAAGAACACCTGCGGCTGGAAGCCTTCAAGGCGCACCGGCATGCACCGGCCACTTTCAGCCTGCTGCACAAAGCGGCGATTGTCGCAGGATGCGGCCGGAGCTCCTTGTCTTGGCCACGTAGACCGGATGGAGGGCCTGAAGCCTGACCTCACGACCACGCTCTCTCAGGTCGACAAGGCACGTTTGGCCGGGGCACACATGAATCGAGCCCTCCATGAAACGAGCCCTGGCTCTGTGCCGTCAGATTGTCTTCGGCCACGAGCTTGGGAGCTCTACCGAACGAATCCGAGATCACCTTCAGTCCGCTCAATTCGAAGGCCGGAGAATGCTGCGTGCGCCAAAGATCCCGCTTTTTTGTAATCAAAGCTGCAGTTGAGTCGCCGTGGCCCGCATCGCTCTCAAACTGCTCTTGCTTGCTGCAGACGTTGTCGCTTCTTGCGACAAACCCGTCGTTTTGTCTTTGCAGCAATTCAACGATTTTGAAGCCGAGAGTCCTCGGCAGACAGTGCCAGGTGATCTGATGCTACCCAATGAAATTCAAAATTTCAGAATAACTTCGCCCGGAACGAGCTAAGTGTGCTACCCGATAAAACTCCTGCATGCGTGCTGTTGGTCATTTGCCCAGGACCTCTCAGACACAAAATCGGTGAACCACAGCTTTTACTTACTCCTTGCTCATGACAGCCGTGAGCGAAAACCCGAAGGCGCAGCGGGTCGGCGCTACATTGGGCATCCGGAAAAGGATGGAGGCCTGCGGCATAGCCACATGGCTCACGTGCCCTGGTGAAAAACTTCCGCTTCGAGTCTGTGAATGCGTGGAGTGTGGGGTACATAAACTGTGGTCAGTAGCTGCATGAACTACCAAGGTCAGCACGGTGGACAAGGCAGCCTTTGGTCGCGAGACTGCCGCCGGCGAGTCGGACGTGCACCTCGATGCTGCGTGCTGGAGAGGCTCTGCTCAGGGGGCAATCGACGAAGCAAGTCGAATCGAAATCATGCGCTGGAGAGCCTACTGAAGGTGCTGCTGGGCGCAAGTACATCGGAGCGCCGGATCGGGCAGAAGGGCGGCAATCAGTTCCTGGCAGTGGGATGTCGCAGGCAGATGGTCGGGACCACTTCTTGACTTATTTGCCATTGTTTGCGTCCTTTCTCTAGCCAGAACGGGGGCAAGAGGTGGGCTTGTCACAAGATCTTGTCGGTGCGGACAATAGCTGGGGACACTCCCACCGCTGCCCTGCGTGGAACGGATCAAAGGAAGGGACCAATTTTTCCATTGCTACACTCAGTTCTTCCTTACCAACATGAGCCAACGAGTGGCCCAGGATGGATGACGTACATGCATGCACTGTGCATGTTACATGCCGAAATATGTCGAACATTGGTGGTGCGTAGCTGACTGGCAGGTAGCCTCGCAGCGAATTCCACAGAGAGTGCGAGTGAGAGAGACAAGCAGTCTGGTGTGGGCGACATGCGCGAACGCACGCTGTCGCCGAGTGATGCCAGGTCGACGAGATCGTCTTTCAGCAGCATCTGTCATGGCCTTTTTTTACGATGCACTGATCGTGACGAACTCTCAGGTCTGGGGCCGGGACATTGACAATTCCGGTGAGAGGCAACGCCTCAAGGAGAGGGCTCGTTTGCAGGCCATTGGCTGTCTCAGCCTTTCCGCGCGGTGAAGGGTGATTTCAGAGAGCGAAGGTACGATGATGTCGGGGCTCTAGCTCCAGGAGTTTCAATTGAATGGCAAAGACTGTGCGAAAGCACATCAGCGCACTCTTCGCAGTAGTCGTGAAGGCCTCTGGCAAGACGCTGGGACGGTGGTGCATCCAAAATCGGAAGCTGAACCGTTGAACCTGAAGGGTTCGTAGTCAGTCGAAACCCAGTGGTGCAAGATGCGCTGCTGGCGTTAGAGAGGCCGTATTGGCCATTGAAATGGCGCTCATTTTCCAACGGCACCGAGCCCACAGCTTTGCCCCCACTCATTTGAAGCGCTTCGATGCAGGGGGCAACTTCCCGGACTTGCAAAATGGTGCCACATGTGCTAGCCAGCTTGCCTTTGCCGGGCTCACCTTTGAACCTGGACCTGGAGCTGTGTCCCGCTATCGTGAGGCGTCGCAGCAGCGCATGCTGAAGCTGGGGCTGAAGAAAGGCCTCTTCAGCGAGGAGAGCACGGGCACATGCCGGGCTGGTATTCCTCAACAAACCCTCTGGTGAGGAGCGAGCTGCTGCACCGGTCTCGAAGAAGGCGCAGCAGGCCGCCACGGCTACGGGGCGGCATGCGCAGCATCTGACGACTTGCGGGAGTCAGCTCTGTTAGCAAAGCTCAAAGAGACGGAAGCTAGGCCTTGGCACCGGATGTCCTCGGACAGACTCCGGCGTTGGTGAATGTGGACGATGCCACTCGGAAGCGGTGTCCTGCTCAGTCACAGCATCCTCATGCTTCGCACAGAGATCTCTCGTACATCATGTCAAGCTCGCTGGCAAAACCTCGTGTAGGCTTTCGCACACGCCAGTTTTTGTTCGGTTCGTGCTGACTGTGACATAGCGTTGGCGCGGGCAACATGCCACTCCATCAGAGGTGTGTCAGCTTTCTGGTTGATGTGAAACCCTGCTCTTCAGCGCAGACCGGGAGTGCTGTCTTCGTCCAAAAACTCGGACAGCCCTCGGCATTCCTCCTCGACTCCCCGGCACAAGCAAGTTGTTCTGTCGGAAAACACTTCCATCGCTCGACGAGAACATGCCAGCGGCGTTGGTTGTTGCGCCGGTATTGCTCGCGGAAGTGGCTAGAAGTCAGAATCGATGTGCAGCGTTCTATTGTACTCCGCCAGCGACCTTGCAAGGCTTACGCACGATGGCACTGAAGAACTTCTGAAGGCGGTTCTTTCGAGACTTGAACCTGCCTTCCGGGAGCCAACGCTGGAGGAGCTTGAGCTCGTCTACTCGGAGCCCAACTTCCGCGAGCAGGCCAGATCAAGTCCCGATTCAAAGAGGCACCAGAGGTGTCAGACGATGGAAGAGCGACGCTTGTGCCATCTTGATGCTGCCTCTATGATGCCCTTTCTGGGTCAAGTCTTCCTCAGGCTTTACCTTCACCTTCCCTTTATACCGTTGGCTTGAGATCCTGCAGCCATGTACCGGCTGTCGTCTCTTTGTGCCGTTACTCAGGCACTGTTTTGGGGTTTCGCCTTGGCAGAAGAGGCATGCCAAACCGCCGATGCAACACAAGGCAGGTGCACGGCATAGAGATGCAAGTTGTAGGATAGGTCCCGGCTCAAGTGCATGCCTTGAGTCCGCCTTGAGCATCCGTGGTCCTGACAAGGCCAGAACCTCTTGCAGCGCGCGCTGCACCAGAACATACTGGATGATGCGCGGAATGGCGCGGTGGCCTTGGCGAATCTGACAGGATGCGGGATGGGCCTTGGTGGTACTTGCGCAACGAACACTGACTGGCACCACCAGTTGGCGACATTTCTGCCGAGCGAGGGGGCGAACTATTTCAACACTTTCCTCAAAGTGTGGGAGGACTTAAGTTCTCTGTCAGGGTATGTTTTCTGCATTGGTGATCGTCCTGGCTCGTGGATTGTGGGTGACGAATATGGGGTGAGCTCTCAGCTTTACGATTCTTACCAGGGTCTCACGTACCTGCGCAACCTGTTTCTGTCGCCATCTGACGCGGAAAAGTGGGGCACCATTGGATTGTACACGACCTTCCTGTGTCCATCGGGTACTTCAGCAGACCAATACAGCGAGTTGAAGATGGGCTTTGCCTTCAACCTGTGTGGAACAGCCAAAGTCAACTTTATGCTCTCCATCAGTGCTGATGCTTTCGAGTGCTTTGCAGACAAGCTTGTGCCGGTTCTCAGTCGTGTCGTTGGCATGCTGCCGGAGTTCACATTCGGAATTTCGGTGGATAAGAAATTCTCCAAGACTGCGAGGTTAGCACATGGTGATGGTGATAGCATCCGCGTCGACGACATCACCATGGCGGCCAACTTGGGTCTCAGCATTACCGTTCGCATCTCTGTGGGGAAGCTCATCGGTGCGGAGGAGACAATCGGCGATATTTTGGCTGGGGACCTTCAAGCGCAAATTGCTGCGGCATATGATGGCGACATCATCACACCTCTCAAGGCTATTGCCTCTGCCAACGTGGTCGACATCTTACCGGACCTGCTCGGAGGCTATGCTTCAGCATTCTACCTTGGCCCGTCATTGGCGGCGACGACCTTGCGTACAGCGGGAGCCAATTCAGACGTGGTCAGCTTAGTAGAGAACTTGCAGACGGCCACCTTTATGCTTGTCCTAAACGGCTACGTTACCTTGGAACTGGCTGGACCGAGGGTTAAGTGCGATGTGGTTTGCACCCGACTTGGGCTTAATCCCATCTCTCCTCTGAGCCAGGACCAACAACGGGCATCCTTCCCGACATGTCCTTCCAGCTGTGCCTCGTTTACAAACAATGGAAAATGGACACAGCTAATGTTAGCTCTTCCACACGTACATCGACACTGTGCTCCGTCCGATGCATCCTACATGGTACATGCTGTGAGCATTTGCGAAGTATTCTATCTACTGGTAGTGTATTCATGTGTATGGTAGTTGTTTCATGGATGTGATGGAGAGTCACCCGGTGAGGTTCTCTGCTTCCATGATGCTGCGGACCGGGCCTGCCAAAGCCAGCGCAGATGATGAAACCGCCACATCGCACCTCCCGGGACTCTACTTCTATTTGTCGGCCGACATGGGTGCGTTTGTGGAGTCGATCGTTAAAACCATCTTGGGCCAGATCGGTGGCCTTTTGGATGTGGTGGGTGTTAACGTGGACAGCGGCATTTCGCTTTCTGCGAGCCAGGGCATTGGCTTCTTTTTGAACACAGCCGGTGTGGGCTTCGATTCCGAGGTGAAGATCGGTGGATCTGCGACATCCATCAAGTGCGTCTTTAAGTTCAGCAACAAAAAGCTTAGATGCAAAGCGCGCTTGGGCTGGGGAGAGCTTTTCCTCCAGGGGTCCAAATACGTCCTGAACAAGATCAATAACTTTGCCGGCAGTGGTGCGGATGAGATTGCCCAGTTCTACACGAACCAGGTTGGTGAGGGAGGCAGCAAATTTGCGAAGTCGGTCGTTAACGTTGGCAAGAAGGTAACCGACAAGGTCAAATGCAAACTGAGCAACCTTCTCGGCGGCAAATGCAAGAAGAATGGAGGGACTCCAAGCAGCTGCGGTGATGGAACCGAGTACGTTATCCGCAACGAGCAGGACCGAGGGCACAAAACTTCAGGCTGACTCAGATTTCATGCGACAGCGTCAGTGCGGCTGCTGCTGCTGCTCCTCCTCCTCCTCCTACTGCTACTTCTGCTATTGCTACTACTGACGCTACCACCACCACCACCACCACCACTACCACCGCCACCGCCACCACCATCACGACTACGACTACGACTAATTATGACGACGACTACGACTACGACTACGACGACGACGACGACGACGACTACTACTCTACTACTACGCCCAAAGCCTGTCGGTTGCCCGCGCCCTCTCTGTGACGACTGGCAGGATTCGTGCCACTCGTATTGGTGAGTTTGAGACGTTCCTGTCGGTCCGAGACTTCTGTAACAAAAACAAGTAATGTTTGTTGCCCAAGTTGCCTCCCTCTCGAGTTCTGTGCTTGTGCGTCGGGCTCATCCGGGCTCGTTTGTTGTTCGTCCATCCGCGACCGTGTGTGACACAGTACCACTGTCCGCGTCATTATCATGGTCATCATGATCGTCACCGCGCTCATCATCAGAGGAAACACTCCGTCATCTTTGCTATCATCAGAAGACTTATCTTAGTCGTCATCCGTGAAGGGAGTGACGAGGCACTGGAGACGAAGCCCAGTACCTAAAATGAGCGAGCTCTTGGGCAACACCCCGAAAAGGAGTGATTCATTCGCAAATTCACAAAAACCCAAGCCCTAATCGGATAGACTGTTTACAAACCACTAGAAGGAGTGAGTAGTTATTCCCGAAAGCCCACAGTCCTAAATCCTGAAGGTGTGGCTGCATGCCTGAAATCCCACACCCCGAAGCTTGGACTCTTGGACTGTTGACAATGCCAAAACACTAAAAGAAACGAGCCGTGGGCCACAACCAAAGACACGAAAAGTAGTGAATGGGATAGCAACCAAATCCTAGGTGTCAGCGAAAGCAGCGATTCCTCGGGCAAAACCCCAAACCCTAAACGGAGATTTTTTCAGGAAAACCCAAACAAGAATGTTAGCAGACCGTAGCAGGAGTGCGTTCCCCGAAGCCCAAAACCTCGGCTGTGTGCCCGAAATCCCCAACCCCAAAAGCATAGACAGTGGGCAAGGGCTGAGTGTGGCCAACCCGGGGGGGGGGGGCTTTACGACGAGGAGGAGGAGGAGGAGGACGACGACGACTGCTACTACTACCGCTACTACTGCTACTGCTACTGCTACTACTACAGCTGCTACTACTGCTACTATTACCGCTGCCTGCTTCTACTACTCGACTTATACGTCTGACCTGACACGCGAAGATGTGAAGCCGAAACATCTAGACCCCAAGCCGCAAATCTGCACTAAATTGCTAGAACCCGGTCCGTAGATCCCAAATCCTACAGATACTAAACACTACTATACCCCCAAAGTCCAAATGCTTTATTCCCCAAACAACTTTAGCTGAGGGGTTCTTGATTTGTTTCATAGAAAAGGATTCTGTAACGCTCATTTGGATTTCTCACGGCACTACTCTAAAAACCCTACTCATTTGTCTCCCACTTGTCTCCCATTCGTCTCCCACTTG